AAAACTTTCCAATGCTTGGGGGAAGGTATGGAACATCTCAGTAGTGTATAAGAAAATGCCTGGATAATGTTCTCCTAGGGTAGGAATGAGCACAGCTTGGGTGCCAGTCCAGATTCACAGGCCTTAGGAATCCCCGTTCTCCAGGCCTCCACTTCCCCGTCTGACAGGAGAACTCTTCCTTCCAGTTCTGTGCTGCTTTCATCTCAAATTGTGCCTGTGAGGCTATGTCTTCCCCGGTGCCCTGGTTGAACCTGTGGGTCTATTACAGAGGCCTCCCAGTCCAGGGCAGAGCAGCAGGAGTTCTGATGGGGTCAGGGAGCCGGCGGCTGATTTGCTCGTGGCCCTGCCTCTCACTCATGATACCCTCTTTTTCTTTTATTATCTCAGAGCCACGCATATGGTTACCTATCTCAATCTGACTTGTGCAAACAATGCTCCTCTTTCCGGTTTATGACAACTCAGGCTTGTGATTGCTTCAAGCCAGAAAATCCCCTAATGGGGGTTCCCTTACTGGGATTTTCTAAAGATTGCCCTCTATGAAGAGCTGAAATTCACTGATTACTTGAACGGCAACATTAACGGAGCTAAAAATAAGATGATGAAGCTTGTGAGAACTGAGCAGAGGCCACGCCAAATGCACACTCGTAGAAACATATGCTCGTGAAATTCATATTACTCATGTTTTGAGGACCTATGTTCACAAACTCAGAACTCCTGGGGAGGCAAAGAGCGGAGCATTAGCTAAGGCTCCAGGGCGTGAAGCACCGTTCCAGTGTGACCATGGGTGTCGCAGACCTTCACTTGTCATCGCTCCAGTCCTCTATAAGATTGAGACCACGGCTTTACGTGGATGTGGGGGGCAAACTGCATTTCAGTAGTAAGGACTTGAAGAGGGGGTCATGTTGTCCTGGTAGGAGGCACTTAGTGCTTTCTTGCAGCTCTAAACTTACGGGACTCTTTGTTTTGTGGCTGAGCTGAATGTATGGTGTAGAAGAATATTCAAATTTGAAATTCTGTAAGCTAAACAACTTCGCACATTTATTTTTGTTATTACAAGTTTACAGATTCCACTGTTGTTCTTGGATAGATTGTTAAACTTGTTCATCTATATAAATATTCAGAAATATGGAAATAAAAACTGATAGCATTTTTATAAAACTCTACTTCAATCATCTGTCTTTATGGCATTTTTCTGATGTCTTATTCAGCAAGGGAAGTTTTTACATCCATTACTGCCTACTAACAAGGGAGACTTGGAGGTTCCTTGGATGTTACGGATTTTGTATTTCCTCCCCAGCACACTGGTAGCTGAGACAGTATGTCAAAAGGATCGTCCAGAGTGGGCGTCATGACAGTCAACGGGCAGAAGACAGCTTAGGAAGCTGTCATTGGGGCCCCTGGCTGCAAGTGAAGGACAGTGACACCTGACATCAGCTGCAGAATTATCTAAGCAAAGGGAAGAGAGGGCTTGACTGACAGCCAACTGCCTGGCTACTTGGAATTCACAGAGTGTCTGTAACTGGCACAAAGAACCTGAGTAAATAGTAATGAGGGTGGTGATAATGGCAGCCAACATTTGTCGTGTGCTTATTATGTACCAGACACTGTGCTAGTGGTTTCTTTCCACAGGGCAGGTACTAAAACCATCATCTCCCATTTTACAGGTGAGGAAACCGAGGCAATAAATAGCAGTGATAAACCCAAAATCACACAGCCAGTAAACAGGCCAACAGGTTTGAATCTACACAGAGAGCCCATTCTCTTAGCTCTTACCCTAACTGCTTTACTAGGAAGTGATGGATTAAAAATATAATAATTATAAAACATTTCCTTATGCTTTTAAAAAGTTCAAAAATAAGCAAAAGGATTTATGCTGCCTTTTAATCTATAATCTTGATTACTCAAATTGTTTATGTGTTCACTATTTTTTACTTCACGCAAGTATCTTAAATTAATTTTCTGGTTGTTTCAAAGAAAGAATAATAAGAGAAGGTGAAGTATTATTACAAGTTAAGAGATTCAGGTTCTAGTCTTGGCTTTGCCATGAAATTACTGTGCGAATTTGGTAGTTTCCTCTTGTTTATCCGAGGGCTCCTTTCTTCAAGTGAAATAGTTCAGCGTATGTGAAGTGTCATTCGGAGAACTTAAAAGACACTGCCTGTTAAGAGCAGCTGGCTGGGGCAGGTCGCCAAGGGGCTAGTTCTCCATCCTGGCCTGAATGGCTGTGTGCTCCAGCCATGACCTCTGTGTCCTGGCTACGACCCAGTCTAACATGTCACAGAGACATGCTTGAGTTGGTGAACACCCGGTATGATATTTAGAAAGAAGAAAATAATAGCTTTGGGATGATCAAGTTCTTTTAAGTAATATTAAATGGAAGCATGCCATGCTCCTAATTTCTTCTAAAAGCACTTCTCACGTTTGCCAAGTGAGTGACAGGCTGAACCTCACAGGCCGTCAAACTTCTCGGTGTGATGTGTGGGCTGGTTGCTCATCACAGAATCACCAATTTTATCAGAGGCAGTTCAGATACTGTTATTTGAAGGTATTCAACAAAGGAAGCAAATGGTGGGAGGTCCCCATTCCCCATATACATGCAATGACCCTACTGTTTAGGGAAAATAAGATGTGAATGGCTATTTTTAAGAAGCATAATCTATATTGTCTTTTCAGTCTATCATGCAAATTCGTGGGAACCATAAGAAAATTAATTAATTATTTTATGACTTTTTACACAAAACAGTGTGGCTTGTTTACCCCAACTTTTTATTCATTTGCATATAAGAGCCTACCAGGCATTGGGAACTAGAAGGGAGAAATTCTTATTCTCTGTTATGAGACTTACAGGAAGTTTTTGGAGGCCTATGAACTTCTGCGATTCTATTTTTTAAATATCCAAGAATTAATCACCTTGGTAACAACTGAGGTGTAAATTAAACGCCAAGTATTTATTAAATAGAGTTGAAAAGTGATTTGGTAGTTGTTCCTCTAAGGGTTTCAACTCCTGCCTCTCGCTCTCCTTCCCTTTGCAATGCCACGGGGCCTTCAAATAGCATACTTCAAGAGGCGGCTTTATGGCTTTGGAGGAATAAGCTGATTTCACAGCCAGTTTTGCCACTGCTGTGGAAAACAGAATGCACATGCGAGCCGGCTGAAGTCATAGAACTGCACGGATTAGGGCTGCGGGGGCCTCCAGAACTGCTGTCATATTGCTATTGGAAACAGCTTTTCCAAAGTACAGCATCAGAAATCAGGAATTCTCGTCCACAGCTCCCCAACCCATGGGGTTTTTAATCAGGCCTGGTACAACCCATTAGAGATCAGAAATGTGAAAATCATGATGAAACCGAATAAGAGTACCTTCCGGTTTCCCAGTTTTGTTTTGTCTGGATCCCTTCCAGGCCTCTGATTATTGTCACTTGCCAGCTAATACGGGAACAGCTGTGGCCTAGGGACGGGAGCTGCAGGAAGGCTTACTCAAAGGCAGGACAGTACAGTGCCCTTCCTTCCCTCCTGCCCCTGGATGTGCCAAGTGTGTAACTGCTCAAATTCTTAACCTCATCTCAATTATTTCAACTCTATCAGTCACTTAGAGATAAAATAACTGCTGCAGATATTATAGAAAAGCTATTTAGAATATTAATAAACTGAAAGTGTTTTTCTTAACACTCCCAACTTTCAGGGAAAGAGTCCACTCTCAGGAAAACAAGCTCAAGTCAGTAATTTTGTTAAACAGATGAAACTTTCAGGCTTTGGTTTGAGATTAAGCCAAATTTTGCCCAATTTCCTGCACCTCTGTCTAGATCTAGAAGCTAAGAGATGCTGGAAAGCCCAGAGGTCAATTATTGCAACGTCCATTTCACTTGTCAAGTCTTCAATGATGTTTTTTTTATTTTGGTATCATTAATATACAATTACATGGGCAACATTATGGTTACTAGACTCCCCTCATTATCAAGTCCCCACCATATCTTCAATGATATTTTAAACACATTTACTGAAGTAGGAAAATGAATTAATTGGAGAGTTGATCAAAAAATGAGCTTATCAGATAAATTACTAGCATATATGGGACAAATAATTCACTCATTCTGATGATACAATGTTGTGTTATACGAGCATGGATGGTAACATCCAAAAATGGGCCAGCTGGAACGTTCACCTTGAAAGATCCTTAATTAAAACTCCTTTAGATGTATAATCTCCATACAAAGAAGGAGCTGTGATCTGATTTTTTTTTTACTTCCCAAAGGCTCAAGTCAAAATCTGGCTATTCAATGAAGCTTTCCCTGGTCCCCTTAAATCAATTAATTTCTTTTTAGACTTCCACAGCAAGTTTCTGGGACCTCTCTTCAACACAAGACATTCTGTCCAATATAGGTAGTTGCTAGAAAGTGAACATTCCCCCACCAGATGCTGGGCTGTTTCCCCAAAGGCAATGACTGCGCCTTAATCATTTCTGAAGCCCTCCCCTCCCCTGTTCTGGAATTAAGACCCAGAACTGAAATCCAAACAAAACAAACAAAAAAACCCTTCTATTATCTAAAATGTATTAGCAATTTGTTATTATTTTGGGAAGATGTTTGCAGAAAAGAAGTAGAGCCAAATGATGCATAGTATTTCAGAGAGCAGGGGAGAACTCAGGGGGGAAGTGTTATGTGCAAACCGGATGCTCCGCAAAAGTAAACATAAGGCTCTGATTTATTACTCAACTATCACCACAAAGCTTGTCCCAAACTAGAGCAAATTTAGGCTCATTAGGACAGCCTTTAAAATGCAGCAATCAACTTTTGGGAAAAAACTGAAAACCAATAAAAGCATTTCTTAAAAGCATCTTTGAGACCTGCTTAATGAAAAATCTAGCTATATTTTTTTAGGGAAACTCTTACCAATAAGGATCAAATCAAGGAAAAAAGAATTCTCATTTTAAATTAACTAGAATGTTCTGTCTGACAATGAAATCTACCTGTTAAGAGCAAAAATACTCAGACAGCCCTTACCTTCATGAATATACATCTTTTGAGCATCTTCAGGATGAAGTAACCCCAGTAAAGGTGGAGGACTTGCAGGAGGATGAGCTGGAGGTTGAGGAAGGTGTACGAAAAGAAAGGCTCGACGTAGTACAGAGGCAGAATCAGCGTGCAGTGTAAAATCCTAAAAGCCGAACAGATGATGGTATTTCATTATGGTCGAAGTAGTTGTGAATTTTCAGGGAGAAAACAAATACTGTTTCTCCCAAAGCATACAACATTTATTTCATTACTACTGATATCCAGGAAATTTTCAAGAGAAAGCAGTATGATAATATAACCTTTTATATCATTATTGGTGAGGCACAAAAAAATATGGTTTGCCTCCTGGGAGAAAAGTTAAAGCAAATGGAATTTTTACTGCCACACGGCCTATACTTCAGTGTTTCTGTACCTCTGTTTTCTCTTTGCAAACAGAAGCACATCCCCTAATCCTACTTACCTTCCTGGGATTTGTAAAACAAATGACAGAGTGCATGCTTACATGGCGTTATTATTGCCTTATTACACCATTTCATTTATTTGGCATCAAAGGTGAATAGGGAATTCTACAAAAGGAAATTTTCCAGACAAACAAGACGTCTAAAGATGAAAAAATTCTATTGTTACAATTACACTTTCCAAGTGAATTACATGCTTTATTAATTTCATAAACAGACTCCTAGACACAATTTGAACTGCCTGCAATGATCCAGGATGCATGGTGCCTTCAGATACTACTGCAGTATGAGGGGACATCTGTTCCCTTCCCAAACTCCAAACACGACTATGATTTTAGAGCTATTGGATAGGTTTCTTTGTAAGCACATTATTCTGATTATAAAAATAATTTATTCATATAGAATTGGGAAAACAAGTAAAAGAAAGCCCTTATCACCATTTTAAACAAATAATATTGCAATTTTTTGTGTATTATCTTCTGGTTTTCTCCTGTACATACTTATTTTATTTTTTGAATTAAATATAGTAAAATAGACTCTTTTTTTGTGTGTACATTTCCATGAATTATAATACATGAATAGATTTGTGTAATCACCACAATTAGGATACAGACCAGTTCCATCATTCTCCCAAAACCCTGTGTTATCCCTGCATAGTCACACCCTCCCCATTTCACCTTCCATTATTGGAATTGGTTTGACAGCTCCCTAGGTCTGCTTAGTTCTGTGTTCTCTTTTGTGAGTTATCCGTTCAAGATTGATTAAAAAAACAATTTGTGGGTGTGGCTATGAGCCAATAAAACTTTATTAACACTTGGCAAACGCTTAGGTGCTCTCCTTCCCCTTATTTTGTCTTTTCAAGAAGGTCCTATAAATGGAATCTCTCAGGGTGTCAGCCTTTGAGACTTCCTTCTTCAACTCAGCATAGTGTCTTTGAGATTCATCCCAGTCATTATGGGTATCAATAGCATGCTCTTTTATATTACTCAGTGGTATTCTATTGTATGGATGTACCACAGTTCATTTATTCACCCATTGAAGAACATTTGTATTTTTTCTAGCTGTTGATGATTATAAATAGAACTGCTGTAAAAATTCATCTACAGGCTTTTGTGTGAATTTCTCAAGGCTAAACACATGAGGTGGAATTGTCGGAAATCACACTCTAAGTATACACTGGTCCCTCCCTTATTTGAGTTTCACATTCATATTTCAGTTACCCACCATCAACCCTTTTCTGAAAGCAGATGGTCCTCTTTCTGATGAATCATCAGAAGGCAAATAGTAGCCTACTGCTACGTCCCAATGCCTACGTCACCTACCTCACTTCAGCTCATCACACAGGCATTTCATCATCTCATAACATCACAAGGGTGAGTATAGTACAGTAAGATATTTTGAGAGAGAGAACCACACTTATATAACTTTAATTATAGTCTATTGTTGTAATGATTCTATTTTGTTATTAGTAATTGGTGTTGATTTCTTACCATGCCTAATTTATAAACTAACTTTACCATGGGTATGGATATATAGGAAAAAAATCATAGTATATGTAGAGTTCGGTTTCAGGCATCCACTGGGGATCTTGGAACATATCTCCCCAAGGATAAGGGGAGACTACTGAACATTTGACTTTATAAGAAACTGGAAACCTGTCCTCCAGAATGGAGGTTCTATATTTCCATCAGCAATGCATGAGAATGCCAGCTGTTTTCTATCTTTGTTAGCACTTGGTACCTTTCTGTGGAGGCTTTTACCATGGTAGTAAAAGTAGCACCAGTGGAATTTTATGTTCAATTCCATACACCACAATTAGGATACAGACCAGTTCCATCATTCTCCCAAAACCCTGTGTTATCCCTGCATAGTCACACCCTCCCCATTTCACCTTCCATTATTGGAATTGGTTTGACAGCTCCCTAGGTCTGCTTAGTTCTGTGTTCTCTTTTGTGAGTTATCCGTTCAAGATTGATTAAAAAAACAATTTGTGGGTGTGGCTATGAGCCAATAAAACTTTATTAACACTTGGCAAACGCTTAGGTGCTCTCCTTCCCCTTATTTTGTCTTTTCAAGAAGGTCCTATAAATGGAATCTCTCAGGGTGTCAGCCTTTGAGACTTCCTTCTTCAACTCAGCATAGTGTCTTTGAGATTCATCCCAGTCATTATGGGTATCAATAGCATGCTCTTTTATATTACTCAGTGGTATTCTATTGTATGGATGTACCACAGTTCATTTATTCACCCATTGAAGAACATTTGTATTTTTTCTAGCTGTTGATGATTATAAATAGAACTGCTGTAAAAATTCATCTACAGGCTTTTGTGTGAATTTCTCAAGGCTAAACACATGAGGTGGAATTGTCGGAAATCACACTCTAAGTATACACTGGTCCCTCCCTTATTTGAGTTTCACATTCATATTTCAGTTACCCACCATCAACCCTTTTCTGAAAGCAGATGGTCCTCTTTCTGATGAATCATCAGAAGGCAAATAGTAGCCTACTGCTACGTCCCAATGCCTACGTCACCTACCTCACTTCAGCTCATCACACAGGCATTTCATCATCTCATAACATCACAAGGGTGAGTATAGTACAGTAAGATATTTTGAGAGAGAGAACCACACTTATATAACTTTAATTATAGTCTATTGTTGTAATGATTCTATTTTGTTATTAGTAATTGGTGTTGATTTCTTACCATGCCTAATTTATAAACTAACTTTACCATGGGTATGGATATATAGGAAAAAAATCATAGTATATGTAGAGTTCGGTTTCAGGCATCCACTGGGGATCTTGGAACATATCTCCCCAAGGATAAGGGGAGACTACTGAACATTTGACTTTATAAGAAACTGGAAACCTGTCCTCCAGAATGGAGGTTCTATATTTCCATCAGCAATGCATGAGAATGCCAGCTGTTTTCTATCTTTGTTAGCACTTGGTACCTTTCTGTGGAGGCTTTTACCATGGTAGTAAAAGTAGCACCAGTGGAATTTTATGTTCAATTCCATTTAGTTTAAATCAAAAACATTTTACACTGTTTAAAGAACTTGGGGGTACTTAATCTGTCCCAAACTGAAGATAGTTTCTTTACGAGTGTATATTCCTAAATGTAAGATTACTGTCTCAAGGTGTACTTTCCTAGTACATAAACTCAAGGTGTATGTTAAAAACTATTACTACTTTGCCAAATCATTTTCCAAAATTGTAACAATTTTAAGGTCACCAGCAATCTAAGAAATAAGAATTTCATCGAGCTCCCAACCAGTAAGTATCAAGTGGGTTTAAAATTTGCTAATTTAAAAAACAAAACAATTTCAACTTCCATAATTGTAAGTGGCTTGACAGCTCCATAGGTCTGCTTGGTATGCCCTCTTTTGTGAGTTATCAGTTCAAGATCAATTCAAAAAGGAATTTATGTGTGTGGCTGTGTGCCAATAAAACATTATTAACAAAAAAGTTGCTGGGTTGGATTTGGCCTGTGACCCATAGTTTGCCAAACTTTAGCCTCCATGCTTTGCTTTAAAAAGTCTTTCTCACCTCCATCATTGTAAAAAATATTTTCCCATGTTTTCTTGAAGTCCTGGCTCTACTACTTAAAATCCTGACACTGTAACCTTGAGTCACTTCTTCATGCATTTTCTCAAATGTAAAATGGAAGCAGTGAGTACCTACCTTATTTATTCAATAACATCTACTGAGCACCTACCAAAGTGCTATGGAGCACTTCACAGGAGCCAGGAATATGGCCATGAAGGAGGCAGGCCCAAATCCCTGAATCAGCAGGGCTTACATTCTGGGGGCCAGGAAATAACGTACGTAATACCTCTTTGCTTTCTGATTTGTTGGGTCTTCAGGCAGCTGTGTGTCCTATTCTGGACTCACTCAGCCTAGAACGTCCTCCCCTTTCAGCTGAAACTCCTTTCATCCATCAAAGCACAGGCTGCTTTACACGGAGTCTCTGTGCTATTCTGATTGCCTCTGACTTTGTAACTTTCCTCTAGGCTCCCTGCTACCAACTTCTTTGGAGCATTTGGCCCAGTTCACCCTGCCTTGAAGTAGTAGCTGCTAGTGTGAAGTGGCTCCTCACTAGCTGGCAGATTTTCCGAAGGCGGGGGTCGTGGTGTCTTCATCTCTGTACCTCCCTTTACTTGTTCTAGTGCCTTGCCCCTTACAGGGAATTTGATAACGTCAGAGTTAACACAGGAACCTACAAAAACATATCTCCTTTACATACTCTATCAGAGAATGTGAGTAATTCTCACATATAATTACTCATTGTGATCCATGCAAAAGAAAGAAAGAAGGCAGTGGGCATGTTGCAGAGCTCGGACTGCACTCTTTCCCTGTTCCCTCTAGCTGAAGGGAAGACACAGAGAAGAGGGTTCCAGTTGGAGGTAACTACGTGTACAAAGGCCATCAAGAGGGAGGCATCATGGCGAACCCAAGGGCTAAAAGACCACTGCGGCTTAAGGGAGCATGGTGGGGAAGGGTGGTGAGGGATGAGGCTGGAGACGGGAGTGCAGCCATGTCATGCTGGCCTTGGAGTCCAAGCTGGGGGCATGGCTTTCATTGCAAGAGCACAGGGTAGCTTTGTGGGTTTTAGAAAGGGTGGTACACCTGGCCTAGAATCATCGGAGCTGGGTCCCAGGGCTGAGGCCACTATTTCCTGGCT